TGAAGAAATTTCTAATTAATAATTGTGCGAATCGATGGCATGATTTTTTCTCGTGAACACTTTAAAATACATAGTATTTTTTTTTTTTTAATATTTTCAGAACATCAACAAAATATATAATTATATATATATATTACAATACTTCAATATATGATTTCAAAATAAAATCAATCATAAAATAATCCAAATATAAATTTCAAAATTAAAATTTAAAATTGAAATTATATAAAATTCACAAGAAATCAATTGAAGAATACTTTTAATCATTTTCTTTTGTTTGTTTTAATTTTCGTTGCCTCCCTTTTTTATTTGTTAAATAATTCAATCTTTTTTTGTTCTACGCGATAAAAAATACATCTAATTCTCTTTTGCAATTTATTCGTGTTCTTTTCATTGCTGTTTTATATTCTTTTCTTTTTTTTCTTTTTAATTTATCTTTTTCGTTTATCTCATTTCATTTTTATTTTGTTCATTTCTTCATTAAGATTCACTTGTAGAAATAATGTATTATTATTAAACAAAAATAATCGATTTAAGTTATTATTATTATTATTATTAATAACGTGGTAGTTTAAAAAATAATTCAGGGTTTATTTCTTCAATTGTTTACCACACGTAATTTGTTTGATATTAGGACAATGTGTAATCAAAGAAGATCTATCATCGTAATTGGAATTAAATGATCTTAAAAATAAACTTAAGGATACTGGTTTAGTAATACGATTTAAGGTTGAAGCCCATTCGTTGTAACTTGAGGTTGAAGGTTTTGTAATGTAACTTGATGTCGTTAATGATTTGTCATCGTAGATTATTGAATTGGATGATGAACTTTCTTCGTAACTTTTGTTCGATAATATTTCATTAGAATTTGTTGTTTTATTTATTATACCTTCATTAGTTTCTATTATCTTCGTTCCTAATTTTACTGGACAGTGACTTGTCGTGTGTGCTATGTCACCAGTTGCACCGCAAATTGGGCACACGTATTGTCTTTATTTAAAAAAAAAAAAAAACAAAAAAACAAAGAAGAAGAAGAAACAAAAAATAATGAAACATTTGTGTAATTTAAATATTAATAAATATATAAAACATTTACAAATACACACAACGTATGCAAATAAAAAAGAATAAAATCAATCAAAGATCGATATACTATATTAATTTAATTTTTAATAACAAACGGAGGATTTTTAAATTAAAAAAAAAAAAAAATATCAACGTAGGAATCTTTTTTACCGACCGATGCGAAAAAAGAAAAACAATATATGTTATATTTTATTATTATAATACGAATTGATGTGTGTGTTAGAGAGTAACAATTTGTTTAGTATAACAAAATGATAAGAAAAAACAATAGTTACCTTAAAATGGGGCATTGTACGCGACCATGATTGTTTTTAAGTATATGCGATTTGTAAAAAAATTCATGTTCACCATTGTTCTTACAAAAGACACATACACTTTGTTCCGATTTCTTCAATTTTTTCTGTCGAAGTCGAAAACGCATATGAATATTCGATGTTAATGATTGCCCATTTAATTTCTCCTCCTCGGATTCAGAAATATATTCATAATCAACGCCATTTTTACGAAATTCGTCCATTGAATTCGCTGTGTAGAAAAAAACAAAAAAAACAAACATACGAACAACAATTTAAACAATTTAACATTAAAATTCTTTTTTTCATTTGTATTATTTTTTTTTTCTTTGTAATTTTAATGTTTAATTTAATGTTAGGAATGTGAAATTATATATAATTAAACGTTAACGAATCTTTATGAGAGTATATAAAATGTTAACAAATCTGGTAAACAACGAACGTTCGAATGTACTTAAAAAAAAAAAAAAAAAAAAAAA